AATCAATTTTGTAAATAAATAAAAAATAAAAACTTTAAATATAAGTATATTTTAAAATACTTTTAACTTAAAACTAAATTTAGAAATTAGTTTAAAGAATTTTAATGTTAATTAAAGTAATTTTTTCAAATAAAATATATTTATTAACTAAATAATAATTATTTTAAGAAATATAGTTAAACAAAAATAAGTTAATAGTTTTATTATCTATTATAATTTAGTTAATAAAAAAAAAAGTAATAATTATTTAAAGATTTTCAGAAAAATATATTAAACAATAAAATAAATTTTTACCTTATATCTTATTTTGTAAAAAAAAGTATTAGTATTTATTATTTTTAAAATAAATATAAATAAATTCTAATACTATTTAATTTATCAAATATTATAATAATTAAATAATATAATACTAAAACTGTTTTAATATTATTAACTGAATATAAATATCAAATTTTATTATTATTTTAATTTATATATAGTCAGAACTTGATATAAAAATTCAGGATAAAATGATTATAACTCATAATGAATTTTTTTTCAAACCAAATTCATTTATAATTAATATTATTATTATATACTGATTTTATTATAAATTTTGTGATATTACTATATCAAAGACTAGTTATAAACTAGCTATATGTATTTGTTCATGATTAGCCAATACTGATTTCTTTTATATACTGATCATCATTATATAATTTTTTTTTTTTACTTTATATACTGATTTTTATTGATCTTCATTAAACATAGTAAGATAATAAATATTACTTAAAGAATTTTACTAACCATAATCAGGGGTGATCATCACTGATATTATGTGACCATATTAAGTCACGTGATCATACTAAGATATGTATTTCAATATATTTTATTAAAAAAAATATATATATATCAAATTTTTATTTAAAGCAATACATTATTATTACTGATTCTGTTTGACACATTTTGCTTTATTTCTAGCATTATGACTGGATTTCCATAAACTTTGCATATATATTTTCATTTACTTGTATTTTCGCCTATATCATCAAGTGCCATATGATCATTATCTTATCCATGATTGCTAATATTATAGGTGTGTAAAGAGATCCTTGATGAAGATTGTAAATTAGGATCAGGTGGATTAAAAGCACTAATTTTAGTGCTATGGTGTGTATTTTTTAATGTTGATTTGATATATTTATGTAATAAATGTTCACACTATTTTCAAACTAAAGGATCAGATATACTCAAATTTTCTTTATTTTCATCATTCGTATCATCGATATCATTTTTCTTACGATTGATGAATCCATTAACTATATCAATAAATTCAGTTTCATAACCTAAATTCAGCATCAAATTAAGAGCTTTTTTTATCTTTCCAAACCCATATGCATATTTTTCTTTTCTTTGTACGCGTTGTTTAACATCAGCTATAAATGTATCTGGTGATCTAAGTTGATTAAGAATATGTAAATCGGCTACTAATAATTTGTGATTACCATTACTATCTTATTGGAATTATGTTTCTATTTCCATATATTCATATTGCAAATTATTTTGATCATCTCTATCTTAAATATCTTCTAGATACCATCGCTTTGCAATAAGATGTGTATGTTAAATTTTGCGACCTTAGAATTCATCATCACATGAAAAAAATGTAAACATACAAGTCCACGATTAATTATAACCAAACACATGCATAAATGACCATCATCTATCAGTAAAATAATATAATGCTTATATGATTTAGTATGACTGGTAAGTTTCCAAATTTCTATGATATTGGATAACTAGATTCTTTCCAATAAAAAAAAATGGATGTTTGCAGCCTATCTAATTGATCTTTGAGAAATCCATCACCATAGTTGTGCTGATCGTTATCTTAATAAAAAATTTGTAAGTGTCAAGTTTTCCTATCTTCTAATTTTTTAATCTAGTTCTCAACATTTTTTTCGCTTTTAATATAACTTACCTTTACAATATCAATTGCTTCTTTCAAAATAATTTTAGCACGGTATAATAAAGACCTGAGAATTTGTTGATGTTAGACTGATAGAATATGTGGAGTTAGATAACATTTTATTAATTTATTAATATTGGAAAATATGGGATTGATAATTGATGATGCCTGATTAGTTGAAAGACTATGAAGATATGTATTATATCGAGCCCATTTTGCTTTATTGTCTAATAATCTTTGTGTTTGATCATATAAGTTACATAGCAAAGATGAACTATTAGCATCTTATTTAATCAAATGGTTCATAACTTTGACTCTTTGTGTGCTTTGAATGCCAGCCGTAAAGTCTTTAAATTGATAACACCTGGTCCATGACTGATAAGAAGTATTTAAAGTTCTATTAAGATAATCTTGAGCCAAAGGATACTTTTTGATCAATCATATTTAATGACGATAAAAATCATCCTCAAATAAACTATTTCGAGTATGTAAAAATCTTTATAAAAAGATTTGTAATCTTGTCCTAATTTGCTTGCCAAATTTTTTCGTAGATTTTCTTGTATGTGAAAAATACAAAAAAAGTGGTGAATATTAGGCATCTTCAATGCCACTGCCTTTATTAAAATAGGATCAGAATCTGAAAATAAACAAGTAGGTGGAATATGATTAGTTGCGTAAAGAACACAGTCAAGAAACCATTCATAGCTTTCAACTGTTTTGTCTTCTGACAAATATTGAGCAATAAGACGACTTTTGATGTTATTATTTACAACAATTAGTATTGTTAAATACATGTCAAACCAGTTAGTTTAACACATATTATCTGTTTATACTACGTTGTTATAGCGTATAAGGCATTGATTCTGACTAGGCGACATCTAAAACAGACTTACAACTCAGTTATTAAAAGGATCAATTCTTGTGTGAATGATCCATTCGGATTCTTGATCTTTTAAATTAAGTAATGTATTGATCATATTTTGTGCATCTCTATGTCAGTTAGTAAATGTGATTTTAAACCTTTGAATTGCATTGTAAAGATCCCTTTTATGAATATATTGATCCAGAAAACTTGCAACCAATAAGAAATATATTTGTTTTGAACTCATATTTTCTTTGGTAATATAGAATTTGATCTTTTTCATTATATCATCTAAAAGACAATGGTACTTAGGAGAATATAAATATATGGGAGTGTTTCTAGAAAAATCAGATTCTGAGAAATTTTTGACTAAAATTAAGAGCTTAATACATTTTAATCTAATTACATCAAAAAATAAAATGCAATAAA